TTTTTTTTTTTTTTTTGCTCATGTTTTTCTGGGCATCATTTTTCCTTTTGATTTCCACTTGACTATGACATGGAATTGCAATACATGATTAAATATTAGTTTTTGAATTTTCGTTTAAAAAAAACTAGGTGACTGTCTTGTGTCTGCAAAAATCACTTGTTTATGACCCTTAATTTTTTTACTTTCTCTGGGTTATCAATTTGAAAAAAATATTCCTAATTATAACTTCACTTGTACTCTATTTTCAGGAAGCACAAATGATGTTTAACTAATTGGCATGTTTTCAAAATATTGAAAGAATTAAAGGAAAAGTGGTCACTTTGGTTACATTATGGGACTTAAAGTGAAAAACAATTGCAGATGGGCTTTATTGGTTCCTAGTTATTTGAACCATCTACTTAGTCCTTCACCAGCTCAGTTAATTGTGTCATTGTTTCATAACTACATTCATTGAATAGTCTCTTGAGGTATCTCTTTTCTTCTGAAGTTAATACTCGTACATTTCTAGTGATCTCTTGAGTTGTCTAAAGTGCTGTCTGACATGATAGTCACTAGCTGCATGTGGTGGTTTAAATATTAATTGAAATTGAATAAAATTAAACATTCCATTCCTCATCCATACTAGCTACATTTCAAGTGTTTAGTAGCCAGTGTGGCTACCATATTAGAGCAGATCAAAAATATTTACATCATGGCATAAAATTGTGTTTGACAACATTGGTCTGAAAAGATAGGATATACGCGGTCATGTATTCCAGGCATTTTTTACCCTCTTCCGTGGGCCTCTTGTCTACGCTTGGCTCCGGAGAGTCCATTCTGCTAGTCTTCTGGCGGTTTTCTCCAGGCATTTTTTAGAACACCAAGATCATTACTTTCTAAATTTCTATATAGTATTTGTTTTAGAAGGTTGAATTTTTAAAAAATTCATACTCTTTTTGAGCAGTTTTAGGTTACAGAAAAATCGAGCATGAATTACAGAGTTCCCATACATTCCCTCACACAGCCCGTTACCCCTATTATTTACATCTTGCAGTAGTATGGTGCTTTTGTTAGAATTGATGAGTCAATTTTGATACATCGCTATTGACTAAAGTCCATAATTTGCATTGGAGTTCATTCTTTGGGTTATACGTTCAGAGAGTTTTGACAAATGTATAATGTCATGTATCTACCATTATAGTATTCTATGGAATAGTTTCCACTGCCCTGAAAATCCGCTGTTTATCCCTCCCTCTATTCCCCCCAGACTACTGGCAGCCACTGATCTTTTCACTGTCTCTGTAGTTTTGCATTTTTCCAGAATGTCTAAGGTAGGTTTTTTTTCCCCTAATACTAGATTTTTGCTTGGGAATATTAAAAATTATTTAACTACTGTTAAACTTATTTTTAGGTCAGTAAACCATTTGGAAGGATAAAGATATGTAACCAAGGCTCAAATTAGCAAAATCTTACATCTACATAGTGCCCCATAATTTTTACAGCATATTTGCACATACGTTAACTCTTTCAGCATTACTGGATGCTATGGAGAAGGCTGGGCAGCTGTCGTTGCCCTCATTTAAAGATGACAAACTACTCAGCAAGGTCTAATAATTTGCCCAAGGGATGAAGCTGAGTCTGGAACCCAATACCCTTTCATCTAGACTGTGGTAATAAGTACTGTACTACCAGGTGAATAGTATGGATTTTGGAGTCAAGACTCTTGACTCTCTGCCATTTACTAGCTGTGCAAGCTTGGGTGAGTTTCTCAATCTTTCTGAGCCTCCATTGCATCATCTGTAAAGTGATGATGATGCTAACACCTACCATATAGGATTGTTGTGAAGAGTAACAGTTGATGGAGAGTGTTCAGCACAGTCCTGGGACTGGGCATGTAGAATTTTATTTGATCTGGCAGGGAGAATATATGAAAGATCCATTCCTCTTGCTTTTAGTGTACTATTAATTTTGTAAATCCATCTTCCAACCTTTGTATTCTTCTCTCTTCCCAGAATCTCTCTGTGATAGATGAAATGAGGAAAAGTCCAGTCAGGGTATAGCAAGAGTGTGGGGTAGGAAGAAACCATTTCACTATTTTGTTTTTTCTCCCCAGTTGTGGATTTGAATTTCCACTCTTTTGGCACAGAGATTAAATAATAAGAATCGAAGTGATCTTCTATTGACAACATTGTTGTCTGTCATCAAACTTCGGTAAATTTCGTTTTCAAGGGGAACCAAAGAGGCAGCAGTAATGAGAGCAGACCAGATACAACACATTCCTTTACTAATACCATGTTTTTAGATCTTAATATGCCACATTTGTTTACTATGTTACTGGAAGATGTTTTGTATATTATGTGTTTCATTTATATCGGTCTTGACTAGAGAATTTTTTTTCTCAATTGAAGTATAGTTGACACACAATGTTACATTAGTTTCAGGTGTACAACTTAGTGATTCAGCAAGTCTGTACTTGATGGTTGTGTTCACCACAAGTGAAGCTACCCTCTGTCACCATACAGTGCTGTTATAATACCTTTGACTGTATTCCTTATGCTGTAACTTTCATTCCGGTGACGTATTCATTCCATAACTAGAAGCTTGTACCTCTCACTCCCCTTCACCCATTTTGTCC